AAAAAAAAAAAAAACTACTAGATTAGTTGTTTCCATTGTCATTGACTCATTGGTGTTATTCTTAGAAAAAGGTACTGAGATGTGGTGTTTGTGATTTGGATTTGTGCTTTCATGTTGATAAATTTTCAATTTATCTTTATTTTCTTGGAAATTTAGTTTGTGATTTCATATAGAAAGCGACATTAGCACACAATACTCTGTTTTATTCGTATCGAGTTTTGGGTTTTTGATCCTTTGGAGTTGGCTTAGGGAAATTAATTTGTTATATGGCTTTGGAAAGTATTAAAATAAAGACTAGATATTGTTTTTGTTGCAATTTAAGTTTGTCATTTGTGTATAGTACTTATCATTTGCAAGGTGACATTATTTCTTTGCAGGGTGAAAGTGCCTTAAAACATTATCTTTTGTGCACATGATAAAATTTCTACTAGATTATACTTGTTTACAGCCTTATCGGTAGTTAGAATTGGAGGGAGAAATACCCCTAGTTTTGGTAGTCCGGTTCCGAAAGTATGACAACAAGGAAACTCTTGGTTTGGTTTTCCTGTTCTTTTGGATTGGATGACAGAATTTCTTTTCAATTGCTTGGGATCAGTCCTCCTTGGTTGAGTGACACTTAATATGGGTGGGGCCTTGCTTTGTCTGCTGATACGGCGAGAGCTTCCCTTTACCTTTTGTTTTGAACCCTTCTAAACCAAAGCCTTTCAAACCTTTTCTAGTCTACTCTGTGTACTTCACCTTCGAACCAAGCTTTGCTTTTCGATCCAATTCTGGCCGCCGACTATTAGAGGTCGTTGGAGGATACAATACCTCGCCTTTGATTCACCGGGCTTAGAAGGAGTTTTCAGGTCAGAATGCCTATGATTGATTACTAAGTGTCGGAGAAGAGCGGTGAGTAGCTATTGACTTTGTTTTCTTGCTAGTTGCAAAAATAAGAGAAGTTTCGGTTGAAGAAGAAGAAGTGAGGTAAGTCCCTTGGCACAAATCCCCGGATCGGGTATGAAAAAAAAGAACCGGAGCCAACTTCCGATTCCGCCTGATTCGGACAGTTCCAGTGAGTCTGAAGATAATGTCGTGGCTGACTCTATGGAATTAGCTAGTCCGCCTATCCTTGCACTACCTCCTCCTGCTGGAGTGGGAGTATTTTATAAATTGTAATTTTATTTTTATCTTTTTACATAAATGATGTTGAAATATTAGCTTTGCCAAGACATTATCTTTTTTTGTACACAATATAAATTTTCTATAACATTTTACTTGTTTTCAGCTTTGTTGAGGGATACAACATCTTATAAATTGTTATTTTATTTTTATTTTTTTATAAAAAGAATGTCGAATGGTTGTTGATATTATTTAAAATGTAAATTTTATTTTTTAAAAATGAAAAAAAAAACAAAGTATTTGAGGCATTATTCTTATATTTGGCCTAGGGCCTCATAATTTATAGGACCGTGTCCGACTTTTTACCAAAGTGGATTATCTCATTAGCAGTTTTTAATATCTATTCGCTTACAAATATCTTTTCAAAGGCACAATTAAGAATATTTAATTTTTTAATTTGAGAAAATTACATCATTTACTTATAAATCTCGTTTCATATGAACATATACATTTTTTTTTTTTTTTTTTT